AAAGACAGATGGACAGATAGATACAAATATACGGATCGATTGACTGGTTGACTAACTGATCGACACCTGGATAGATGTTGTATATACTTAAATATTTATATATTTAATATACCAGTTCAATATACAAATGTGCAGTGTGGACTACCCATTGTGAATAATGACATCTGAAATGAAGAAAAGGGAAGGCTGTTTCATTCCTTACCTTCATCAAGGTTCCATTAATAGCAATGAGTCCAATGGTGACAGTAGTCAGTAGCTGACGACTGTTCGTTTGCCTGTTTCTGTAGCCATCTGACCTTCATAATTCATATTAATGATAAAGACTGAAGAAAAACAGCAACTTTTCACAGAATTGTGCAAAAGACAGTTAAACGTTTATATATTATATATGAAATAACACTTCCCATTCCACAGACTGCAACAACGTGTCAACATTGACAAACCAAAAGAAAATTTGTCATACAAGAAAACGATTGATAAGAAAAAACGTCATCCTGCATTTTAGAGTAGATTCCGATTTAGAGGGGAACAGAGAAACTACTTTACGGACAATGAAATAATAAATTCTGAGATGTTGGAGCAAGTAGGAAAAGTACCAGGAAGGTGAAAGCTCTGCAAGCTGCAAAAGTTGTAGCGTTACTGTTAATAAAAGATGAGGCGTTGAAATCGCAAACAGCAAGATCAAGTCCAAAATAGATGAAGAAAATACGTAAGTTTCGGCAGAATTATCGTTATTATCTGCATTTGACAGGTTTTGAATCTCCAAGTAAATGGACGATGCAAACGTCGTTCCATTTGGTTGCGCTTTCTTTAAAAATTAATATGGATAAAGGCCTCTCATTCTTACTTCCGTGTTCCTCCTCGCATTCCTCTCTTTTTAGCAGATTATTCTTGGAAGTAACTAAAGCAGAATTTTATCCTTCTTTATGACTACCTTTCTGATGGCTCAGCTGAGAGCTGATAATAAGTCCTTGCGGTCAAGAGAAATGTCCCACTTTGCAGCACAGGCTTCTGCAAAATCTGCTCACGTTGTGGACAGAAAAGAAGCAAATAGATTGATTTTAAACAAAGCGAAGAAGAAGATGACGAGCAACGAATTCAATCGTCTACAGCAAGCACCAATGAACGCAAAGTAAAAATGAACGAATGTCTATTTGGACAATACCGCTCAATCGGATGACCGCAGCTCAGAGAGTGCAATCAGACTAAAAACAGATATGGGAGCCTGTGACGACCAGTCGTTTGAGAGAGATGAACATAGGCACCAAAATTAGGATACGGTGACCCTTGGTAGCAATTAAAAAGAATCAACTAAGAATTTCAAGCATATAATAACTACCAACTTATAAAACATCATACATGATGAACATGATGGTGCTTTAAAGCATAAAATCACATCAAGTACACCTAGCACAAAATGTGCTCGATAGTATGGTCTTAGCTTGCTCCATTCCCTAGCCTCCCTTAATCACGTAGAGGCAAAAAACTGAAAAATCAGGTTCTGAATGAACAATGTGCTGAAAAGCAGACACGTCACATTGCATTAAAAAGTTTGTACCGCATCTGCGGAATCAGACCAAACCATTCACACCTTCCCTTAGCTTAACAAAAAAACAAGCAGACTATATATATCTCTTCCTCGACTGACATGTAGGCACGTTAGCAAAAAAATATAACGTCAACCAATTTACTTCAGTTCAATATGCCAGGGGAGAGGGTTCATATTTCATAGAAAAAATAATACAGCAAATTAATAAACATTATTGCCAATCAATGACGCAAAAGACGAACAAACTAAAACTGTTAAATAAGGATAAATGATGATAAAGAGTCAGCACACACTTGGATCAGATAGAATTTCGTCGTTTTGGCACTTTCATCATGTTTCCCAATTCCTCTATGGCATGCATCACTTTAAAAGGTCGATTCTTCTTGTCTTGGCATGTTATAAGCGCGTAAGGTTGTCTCACGTACTGAAACGTATTTCGGTTTCCATCCTGGTTGTCGTTGCTGCCTTCGATTAGATCCTTCTTCACTACGATGGTGTCACGGATCGAAATCTTACAACCCGTCATCTGCTCTATTCGCCTGATGTTCATACCCTTAGGACCGATGATTCGGCCGACGATGTTCACCTCTGGAAAACGGTCCACCGGTACGTACAATTTTGCATCGTACACTGACCCGATCGGGGGGGCCAGCGGACGTCGAATGCTTCCCCGGGTAGTGTCGATGGCGAATTGGTCAGACAGTTCGTTTTCCGATTCTCTTGATGACCTTTCCATCGAACAGATGTCTCGATTCATTAGATTTCCGTGCATTACCTGTTCTGTAGAAACCTCGCATCTGTCATCTGACTGTTCATCGGTCACTGCCTTGACCGATTCCCTATTATCGACGTTTGAATGCTCCGCAACAGCCAGATACTTCTGGGCACTCATTTCTTGACCGCTGACATCCATGGGTGATCGCACCGATCTCTTACCACACGGTGCTCACTCAAAAAACAAACAAGAAGAGATTCCGCCTTCCAGGACAACGTAGCAATGACAACTAACTACGAACGAATAGACCATGAAATGCTCTGACATCAGGTTTAAACCAGCAGTTTAACCTCTGATCGAGTGGCATTGTAAAATGGCAGCAACCGCAGTTGTAATTTAAACTACTTTAGCAAAAATAACGCAAAACACAACCCCGATGTTCTGGGCAGCTATCCAAGCTGTTTTAAACTGCCTCAGTGCAAATTTGTTTAAATATTTATTTTTACCATATTTTTGCCTCGAAAACGGAGATGGCTGCCATACAGGCATTAAATTTTTATCGAATAAAGGCATGTTCATTCTTCAATCGTTTCGATGCCATGCAAGTTCTTAGAGAACTTTCCATTTTGCTGGAGGTTCCTTGGCTGACGTACTTGGTTCTTCGCGTTCGAATCCGCTTCATGAGACGGATATGGTCCATCTCTGGCAATGACCTCATCCTGTTATAATATAAACGCACTGTCTTCAATCACTAGTGGCTGTATATCCAATGCTGTTGCCCGCTCACGACAGCATTTAACACTGTGCACAATGTCACTTCTAGTGCTGTACTCTTGGTTTTTATTGAAAGTTACCGTCTTCAGACCAAAAAGCAAGATATTAATGACGCAAGCCCTGTATGTCCGCAGGTTTGGTTTACTGGGTCACAGACGGCGTTTTTCTCCTTCAAGATCATGCCAAACTTGTTGTTAATTGCTACTTATGAGTGAGGTGCCTCTTAGCACGCTGGTCGTTCGTCTTTCGTCAGCCAAGGCATACTTCAAAGGCTTAAATATTTCTGTTTTTTTTCATACCTCATTTTATGTGAATGGTACGACAGTCTTTGGCCTAGTGTTTGCCCATTTCCGCCTAATTTGACTTCTTCCTACTGACGAATATACTCAGACAAGAATACTTCCGTTTCAATATTAGAAACTATATTATATCACTGACTGATCGTTTTCTCGCTAAGCGTCTAAAATGGTTGCAATACATTTTTCGGTCGATTATATTATTAGGAGTTAAAATGTTAGTATAAAGTCTCCTCAATTCAGCTCGACATATCCTTCGCGGAGAGAAATCAGTACCCTGAGTAATACCGATCACATGACATGATGGCGTAGGGTAAAAGATGTACTCCTCACAGTTACTGCAGCCGTAAGGGTCTGTTGTATAGCTCGAAACTGTCGCGTGACCGGTGATGGCATTCGAGGTTGACAGAAATCGATATTTCTTGAACTGTCAAATAGAAGAAGACTGACAAAGTCGGGCGGTAAGGTTGAAGCTACAGTGAAAACTTACAATCACAGTGACTATTTCATCGACAGAATTGCCTTAAAAGAACTTTGTCAACCTCAGATACCAGCGTCCCGTCATACCCTCTAAAATGTTTTCTCTACGAGAAAGATTGCAAGATTTTACGGTAGCACAGAGGGACCGACGAAAACACCATGACACCGCTTTATTATGCCGCATACCCTCTGAACTAATAACGAAAATTATGAGATAAAGAGCAACAAGATCGGACAAGAATTAATGCACTGTATCAGGAAACGGAAAGAGAATTAAAAGAGAATCGCCTGCTCAGACCGAATGGCCAAAACCTGCTAAATCAGGCATCATAGTATTGCAGTTGTACATTGTAGCTACCAGAACAGAAAGCAGAAGCAATTTGTTAGTTTTCATTTTGGAAAGCAAAAGAATAAAAAAGGTGTTAGAAAGGAGATGCCGTGAAATAGTTGACGTCAAGATTCAAGAAGAGCAGTGTGGCTTCCG